CCATCAAGCCCCCTCCCTGGGGAGAAGAGACCCACAGCCAGGGGATGCTCCTGAGGGACCCAAGCCCTGGGGCTACAAGGGACGTGTCTTGGTGGCAAAGCTGGCACCTGAGTGGCCACCGTGAAGCCAAAGGGGCCAATGCTCTCCCTCCCCCCTGCATCTCACGCAGGGTGTTCCTCTGTGGGGTCCCTGGGGTCTCCTGTCTCCTGTGCTCCAAGGTGACTGTCACAGAGCTGCCACCGCACTGCAGCCCCTTCCCTACAGCCCTAGCTGGCACGGCGGCAACCGTGGGCTCAGCTCCCCGCTCCCTTTCCCTGGGCAGCAAGAGAGAGGCAGTAGAACACGCAGACAGGGACAAACGGATGGAGCAAGAGACAAGACAGCATCATATGGGCACCCTGGCCTGGCTGAGGGGGTGCCTGCTGTTCCCCTGCTGCTTCCCCCGCCCCGCCTCAGTCAGGCCTGCCCCGGCCATCTGGCGAACCCCTGCCCGCAGTTGAGGGCCCGCGCGTCCCCGCGGTGCGTCCAGGACGAGGCGGCGGATGGAGAAGGAGGTAATAACACAAGGTGAGGTCCACTGCCTAAGAGGTGTCCAACTAAGAGCCCCGCAGCCGCGGCTCTGAGAGATGCACCCCCTTATCGTACTCCCCCTGCGTACAGACAAAAACCGCAGTCAGCAAGCAGAAGGGTTAGTGCAGCAGCGACGGGACCGGCACGGACACACATGCCAGCGCCGGCACGAGGGGTGCAAGTGGGCAACAAGGCACGGAGCCATCTGCTGAGACCCCCAAGAGGGGCTGGGGTTAGGCTATCACCCCTGCAGCCCAGCTCCTGCCAGTCATGGGACACTGGGATGGCTTCCGCTCCCACCCCCGTGCCGCCGCGCTTTGCTGTAGGCTGGGAGCATAATCCCGGCAGCGTACAAGCAGTGCAGCCAAGGCTGGGGTGGGATCGGCACAGCTTGGGGGGCTCAGGCAACCATCAGCAGGGAGGGCTGGGGGGAGCAGGGCACACACAGCAAAGGGCAAGAGGAGGGAGGCAGCATCACTCATCCCCACAGGCCCCTTCCCTGGCATTGGGGAATTGACAGCCAGAGCCTGGCTATCAATCCCAACTCCCCCCTCAACACCTCAAAACTACACACATATTTTGGGGTCCTAGGAGGACCACAGCAGTGCTGGGAAGTGATAGCAAGGAAACGGGAATGGACAGTGAAGTCCAATGCATATGGGATTTTGCTGGAAATGGGCAAGGAGGGACCCCTGCAAGTTGCTCTGTGCCTGGCACAGAGCTTGCTGACAGCTGGGGCAAGGAGGGAGCAAATTGCAGTTGCAGGGCATGAGGACATGTTTCCTACAGAGCCTCCAAGGCCAAAAGCCCTCCCTGGTCAGCCAGAGGCAGCACCTTGCCCCATAAGTGGGTGTTGGGGGGGACGTGGGGTAAAGCTGGGCTGTGAGAAGCAGTTGGGTCCGTGTCAGATCAGTGGGGCTCTGGAACAGCAGGCAACAGGTGGGACCCAGGGCTGCACATCTGGGTGAGACAGCAAGGCAGCCTGCCTTCTGCTGCAGGGCCAAGCTTCTGCAGACAGCCCCAGGCACATAACTCCACCTTCCTGTTCCCTGCCTGCGCCACCACAGGATGGGCTGGCTTGTCCCCTTCTTGTATCACACCACTAAGGGCGGGTCTGCAGTGGCCCCTTCCCCACAGCTCATGCAGGGCACTAGAGCCAGCTGGCCTCTCAGGTTCTTGGGTGACATACTCAGGGAGTTTTACCTCTGACCTCCAGCTTGGCCTCACACTGCTTGGTGCCATACTCATTGACGGCCTTGCAGGTGTAGAAGCCGGTGTCAGTGTGCTCCGCCGCCAGGATGTGCAGCGTGAAGAGCCCCCGCACTCCCTCTGCCTCCTCCACATGGTGCCGGCGGCCATACTTCACTGGCTGCCTGTTTCTCAGCCTGCTCCAGACAGAGGCAGAGCATCATGGTCATACCTGGCCCTGCACACCCAGCTTGGCTGTCACCAAAAAAACCTTCTCCCTGCTCAGAATGAGAGCTCCACGCTAACCATCCCCATGTCTGCCCCCTCCTTTTCTGCCCACCTGTGACCCCAGAGAGCAGCAGGACTCACCAGTAAATGATGGGCTTGGGCTCCCCACGGACGCGAACACTCATGCTAACATCCTGCCCCTCCAGCACCGACTGGTCCGACAAGGATACCTGGACAAAGAGGGGTCAGAGAGCAGCAAGCACCGTGTGCACACAGGACCCCCCACCCCTGCACCCAGGGTTGTCTGACCCCTATCACAATAGGAGTACCAAGGAAGATGGTGGGGTGGAGCCTGCCCAGGTGCTGGGAGGACCCCACATCAGGTCAAGGGCTAGGAAGACCTGACCTAGCACCTCCTGGCACCGAGGACTACAGCACTGCAATCACATGGCACTGTACCCCCCTACCAAGTCCTGGGGGATTTGTTATCTTACCTCAAAGGTGGGTGAAGCCTTGAAGGTGGTCTCTGGGGAGCCACGGGCAGCCCCATGCTGGGCTCTTGGCTGCAACTTCATGGCCGGTCGGTGCTGGGGGGTGCCGGACTCGGGGAACTCTTCCAGGGGGCTCAGGTACTCCTCGTCCGATGTGATGGGGCTGGCCTGGCCGATGGTGGGGGACAAGTTCCCATGCCGCTCCACAGCGGGTGCTAGCACAGAAGACGCTGGATAAGGAGCTGGCAGCAACCGGAGCCGGGCAGGCGGGTTAGGGCATCCATTTCCACCAGTCTGCATTACAGGGGTGGACACCCACCCCACGGCACATCCCAGCTCGGCGGTGGCCGGCAGCGAAGGGGTGGTGGCCGCGCTGGGGGAGGGGGTGAGTAGCACGCCGCGGGACGATAAGGGGACGCGATATTCCGCAAGGCGACAGCAGGGCTCAAGTGGCTCTTACGCAGCAGCCCGCGCTCCCATCCTTAAGCCGCCCGGATTCCCGGGATGGCTGTCCCTGCCGGGGCCGGCACGGCTG